TGCCCATGTGGAGCTTCATTAAAGTCAATGAGTATCTCACTGCAGGATCAGGGCTTCAACTATAAGAAAAATAACTAAATAAATTAATAACAAATATGTTATTTCCAGTCAATTCCAAGGCAATTTAATCTTACATTCTTAGCTACTGATTTGGTATTATATCTGCTCGATTCTGCTGTACTAAATTAAGTAATAAAAAGGATAAAAATAATATACTTTACCTTTTTAAAATTTGAGGGAACGTTAGTGTTCATGGAAAGACTGGTCTGATTGTACATGCTATCAGAAAAAATAACAAAGATGGGCTGTCTGTTTATTTTTTCAAGCAGCTTTGACAATTTGCTTTAATCCTGACATGCAACATCTCTGCTATGTTGAGGGTCCTTGCCTAATTGATTTTTGTGGTGTTGATGAACTCATTAGATATAGGAAGAGACTAAAAATATCCATTTCAATCGTGACCTAAACTATATTTTACCCCCCAACACTTTGTCCCTGCATCAGCAAAGCATGTGCCTACCCTTACATATTTGAAGTCACATTGGGCCAAATTCTCAAAGGCTTTAAGGCACCTAAAGATAGGCACCTAGTTGCTTTTGGAAATCTCACATAGAACCTAACTCCAAACCTCACTAGGCATCTATCTACATTTTTAGGCACCTAAATACCTTTGAAAATCTGGCCTTTTAACTTGAAGCAACTTTAAGCTCTAAAGTCAATTGGACTATTTAAGCGTTTAAGTACATGCTTAAATACTTTGCTGAGTTGGGGAATTGTGCAAAAACTTATGGTCCCAACTCTGCAAACTCTCATGGACTTCAGGTTTGTTTGTGTAAAGGCTACTGGATCAAGCCCAGCAAGATGAAAAGAGTAATAAATAGGTTGTCTCACTTAGACCTCTGGTGCTATCCTTTTGAATTATTAAGGTAATAGTTTAAAACTGTAATTTGAACTATTCCTTTGAAGATTATTTAAATAAATGTTTTATTTAAACTCTTTTTAGTATTAACCAAGTATGACATTTTCTATCATCGCTGGGGTCATTATCCCATTAAGATCCAAAGAATTTATATGTGCATCTCTTATTAACCGTGGTAGCAATATGCCTCTAAACAAAACCCATATATGTAATATCAAGAGTGCTTGAAAATATATGTATATACACTATTGTATGTATATATGTTTGTATGTATGTACACATAGAGTTTTAATGTAAAGCAGAGCTACTGGATTGAACTTCACAGGATTGTCCTCGAACCATTACCTTTGCTGGATTTTTGCTAACTTTTAGCTAGAGCTGAGTGAATAGTCCTTAGCAAATAATTTGCTAGATAAATTGAATCGGGTTGATTTTTTCTGTTCCTGAATTGCCTCTGATCAAATTTCAATTTTATTCAAGATTTATTCACCATTTGACATTTTGCTAGATAATTTCTATGAATAATTATTGGATAGTAGATTTTTCAGTAGCAGTCAGTTATAAATAGTCAACACAATATTGTAAATTCAAATTCAAAGATGCGTTTAGTTTGACTGGATACCCAGACTACATGGGATTGTTTCTGTTCCATGACTGGATTAGCATAACACTTAAAAGCAGATTTATCATGTTTACTTGTTCAAAATTAATTTTCGGCAAAGATTCTCTAACATTTGCCTAAAAATTGCTGTTTCTGCAAACATTTCTGACAATACATTTATTTGCTAGAATATTTGTGAAAAGTGAACACAAAAGGGGCATGAACTCAGCTAAAGCAAACTCATTTTATTTGAGTGAATATTTATATGGTTTTTTAAATTATTCATTCAAATTTGCTTTAGCATACTTTATTTAACTGCCACACAAGTGCCTCTTGATTAGGAAGGAAAAACATAAGAGCTCATTTGTATCACATTTTACACGTAGTAGCAAGGTGTTCGGTAGAAGAGGATTTAAAAAGACATTAATGAAAAGAGATAACCGTATCAGAGAATGGTACAAGATAATGTGTTGACCTGAAATGACAGAGCCAAGGTGCAAACTGGATGACATAATCTGGGGTCATACAAGGGAGGATGTTCCAGACATAGCAAATGTGCATGATGTTCAATTTTTCAAAGCTGATGAGCTCCCTCTCACAAATTGTGTACTGCTTGTTTACCATGATTACTATACTTCATTGGTCACCATGACAATCCCACTACTACATGAAAGATTCATTTTCCTAATCAGCTTGTGAAGAGAGATAGGAGATATATAAAGGGTGATTTTACCCTCAGTCCTCAATGAAGGTGACACAAAAACATCAAGAAGGGAAATAATGAAAGCATGCCAATAGAAGTCAAAGTTATCTTTGAGTTGTTTCAAAGACTATAATATTTGAAATCACAATTTACTCAACTGTAGCCATGAAAATAACAGAGCTCTAAATACAGTATCCCTATTACTATTTATTTTGAGTGTAAACTCTCTGAAATAGAAAGGAAAGAATAAAAACAACTGTTAGCTACTAGAAAATATTGACATTTATTTTTAGTATTTTTATTTCTTCAAGCAGTTACAAAATGAATGTTCAAATAAACTGGCCCCAAGTTTCCTTGGCTTTTGCCTTTAAAAATGAGCGTATTGTATATTAAATAAATGCACTGATTATTATAATTATTGTATAGTGCATATTGTCAGATGTACCTTAACCTTCTCTACACTAGGGAAGTTTTGCAAAAATATTTCATCATTGTTAATACATCAGTTAACATGCACAGCAGTTTCACTGCAACACTGGAACTCTAGTGTAAAGGGGCCACTGGATGACATCACTGTTTCAAGGACCATGTTGATTAGAGCTGTTCTGAGCATGGTTTGATAATGCAGTGCTTAAAACACTGGCAATTGCCAGCAGGCTATCTGGACCAGGGGTGCACGGCCGGAGTCTGTGAGCCGTTTTAAACTGGCTGTGAGCTCCTGCTAGGGAGTGGGGTCTAGGGCTTGCCCCACTCCAGCGCTCCAGCCAGGGTGCTGGGTTGGGGTCCACACCAAGCAGCTCGGCCCTGCTCCGGTGCTCCAGCCGGGGCGCAGGATCAGGGCAGCACAACCCAGCTGGGCCCTGCTCCGGCACCACTCCGCGCAGCTCCCAAAAGACGTGGCATGGCCCCGCTCTGGCTCCTAAGCGCACCAATGGGAGCTGCAGGGATGGTGCCTGCGGATGGGGCAGCACGCGGAGCCGCCTGGCCGCACCTCCAGGTAGGAGCTGGAGAAGGGACATGCCACTGCTTCGAGGAGCCCCTGAGGTAAGTGCTGCTCGGAGCCTACACCCCTGAGCCTCTGCCCACGTCCCAATCCTCTGCCCCAGCCCTGATCCCTCCAATCCCCTCGTTCCCAGCCCAGAGCACCCTCCTACATCCCAAACTCCTCATCCTCAGCCCCACCCAGAGTCCTCACCCCCTCCCGCACCCCAACCCCAATTTTGTGAGCATTCATGGCCCGCCATACAATTTCTATTCCCCGATGTGCCCAGCCCTGATCTAGACTAAGGCTCCTAACATTGCTAATGATGGTAAAGCTGAATTGGATTTGGCAGTAGTTGGGAAATTTTTTCCAAAATTTGATAGACAAGGTTTATGTGTAGTGTGAGTGTGCCCATACATTATTTGTGGCATTTCCGGATGCCATGTACTGTCAATGTGGGTAATGGGGTGAAGAATTCAAATCCAGTTTTAGGTCCTTAAAAATAAAAGTTAGAAGGGTATGTGTTTTTTGTTTGTTTTTATTTGGGTGGGAGTGTTTGTTTTACATTTACTATTATGTTACATTTTAAGGTGTTCCTGCTCCCACTAAAGTCAATGACAAAACTTTCAAAACCTCTTCCACAGTTTATTTTGAGAGAGAGTGTTCATTCTGCAGGGCAAGGGTTTGAGTTTGGAGTCTTTTTCATTAGGTCCCATTTGCTTTTAAGACACTATTGTTGAGCATAAAGAAAGCCAGAATTGCATGGGGATAAAACTGCACTCCCTAGGAAAGAGAGTCCACTTCATTAAAAATCAAACAAACAAACAAAAAACAGGGCGTACCCTGTAGGGTGCTCAGTGCCCTCACCTCCCATGGAAAGCAACAGACTCCTTCATTTCAATAGGACTATCTGCAAAGTAAGCTACTACTCATCCTGAGGACGGGGTGATGAGACCAGAATCCCACCCAAATGCTGCATGTACTTTGCACCTTGCAGGCTGCCATCCGAAGCATGCATCCTGGTTCCCTCAAGGCAGGTTTGGCTAGGTTTACACACGCGCGCGATTATCCAAATACCATACTTTACAGTTTCCACGGTATGCATCCGATGAAGTGAGCTGTAGCTCACGAAAGCTCATGTTCAAATAAATTGGTTAGTCTCTAAGGTGCCACAAGTACTCCTTTTCTTTTTGCGTACTTTACATGTAGCCTAGAAGTCCCATGGAAAGTTAGACGCGCAGGGGCAAGCGCAAGGGGCTGCAAGATCCCGCGCGGGCTATGCAAACCTTGGGGCGCAGAGAGGCAGGCGCGGAGCTGGCAGCTGCTGGGGCAGGGAGCTCGCTCGCTGCTCCGAGAGGAGGCCGAGGAAGAGCCCCGCGTGGCAGCCCCAGGGCTTGGCGCATTAAGATTACAGAGAAAGCCCAGGCGTAAACCCGGCTAAACGACCAAGGAGCTCTAGGGTTTTACATCCTGTTAAGTTCTTTCCAAGGATCAAACCGTCAAGCAATTGGTTTGTGCGAGGCACAGGTCTGGCCACCCCGAGGAGAGGGTGAACCAGCCCCAGGGGTTAGCAGCTCGTCACGATCGCAGTGCCCCGGGGAAGCGAGCCCCTCGCCACAGCACCAGCCGTGCCCGGCGCTGTCCAGTGCGTGGCAGCGGGAGCGTGCTTCGCCGGGGAGCCGCTGTCACGCGCTTGCTGCTTAGGAAAGCCGGGGGCAACTTGTACCCACACCCAGCGCTCTCGCACACACCCACACTCACCCCACTCCGCGGGGTGTCTACACGGACCTCCTACCTGGGGGTGTCCGGCCGGCGCACCGGGGCTCCGCGGGTCACCATCTCCCGGCGTGCGGCGGGGCGGAGAGAGGCGCGGCAGCCCGGGCAGCGGAGCCTGCGCCGCGCCCGCGCTGAGCGAGCCCCGCCGCCGCCCGGTGCCGGCTCACAGTGCCCGCCGCCGCGCTGCTCCCATCCCTGCCCCGCCGCGGAGCCCGGTCGGCGGGAGGCTCGCAGCCTCGCCCCAACAGCCCATGCCGGGGCGCGGGGCTCGCCGCGCTGCCCTCAAGCTCCGAGGCGCCGCGGGTCAGCAGCGCGAGAAACCCGCGCCCAGCCTCTCCCCCCGCCAATCCCGGCTCGGCGCTCACGTCGCTGCTCTTGAAGGGGCCGCTCAGAGCGAGGGGAGCCGGGGCGCGCTGCCCGGGCCCAGCCAACCCGCCGGGGCTGCTGCGCGCTGCTCTCCGCCGGCGGCAACTCCCCTGGGCCGGGACAAGTGAGTCCCCCCGCCCCGCTCGCCCGCGCGCGGCTTAGCTGGGGCGCCTGCGGGGGGAGGGGTCAGAAATTAAGTGAACCGCGCTCTGGCTGAGCCTCCCCTCCTGCGACGCCGGCAGCGGCCCTGAGGGCTGGGGCTGCTTGGAGAGGGCGTCTCGCCCGCAGCTCACAGGGAGGCTGCAGCGCGGTGTCCGCCCCCGGGTGCAAAGTTTCTGGGACCGTCTAACGCGACAGGAAAGCCCGTGCGCTGAAGCTACCTCCACGCTCTGTCTGCGGAGGAGAGTTCAGCCCCGGCGCTGAGAACGGGCTTCCTTGAGGACCTGCCACTCTTGCTGCCTTGATTTTGCAAGTTTTTGTGGGCTTCATACGTGAGTGGCCGGCAGGCTTTCATGCTCCTCTGAACGTTATCTTATACTCGCTGATTCTGCAAGGCTTTTAACCCCGTCAGAGACATTCCAAACTACTTTGAAAGCCGCTAACAAACGATCATACCATTAGGGACAAAAACTCCATACAACTAACGTTCAGGTTGGAAAAGGAGCTGACAAAAGCCACTCAATTCAACACTGAAAGAGGCTTAGGCACAGCTGCATGGGTCTCAGCTGCAACTTCCTAGAGAATCTTAATTCAAATGAACTGAACATAAGGATGTGCCAGGTGCAGTAGGGACCCCATTTGTTTATTATTATTTAAATAAAATGAGACAGCTACCCACAGCTCTAGGTATCCTGACACTTATTTTAAATAACAAAGACTAACTGCCCAGCATCATAACAAAGCCCCAACACACAATAAGATTAACATCCAGTAATTTAAGTAGCAAAAACAAAAATGCCACCCACATCCTAAATGATATCTCACTTAAACCCTTCAGCCCTTTCCAAAAGCTCTAGCAAACAGATGGTTGTTGCGGCATGTCAAGCCAAGGTCAACAGACTCAGGCTATTCTAGATTAATATGAGGGCAGTTCCAGAAGCATGGGGCATAAAATATATGAAGAATATGTGGAATATATATGGAATATTCTTTCCATACCACTCCTCATTGTAGTATCTTGTAAGTGACTGGTATTGTAACCAACATTACTGGAGTTAAGGCTTCATTGTTAGCCTACAGTTTGCTCTCAGGAGCTTGGGAGTGTTGGTAGACAAAAAGAAAAGGAGTACTTGTGGCACGTTAGAGACTAACAAATTTATTTGAGCATAAGCTTTCGTGAGCTACAGCTCGCTTCATCGAATGCAGCCGATGAAGCAAACTGTAGCTCACGAAAGCTTATGCTCAAATAAATTTGTTAGTCTCTGAGATGCCACAAGTACTCTTTTTCTTTTTGCAAATACAGACTAACACAGCTGCTACTCTGAAACTTGGTAGACAAAGGTACTATTCAAAAATTAATGCTGGTGAATGCAGAGTAAGTGGAAAAATCATCCATGATTTAATAAAGAACAAGGCCTGATCTTAGGTGTATTACTGATGATTCATAGGATAACACTGCTGCACTGATTTAGACTGATTTAGAAAATCTGGTAAAGCATGAAGCTAAGAGGAATAGCTGAAGTAGTACCATGGCTGTTCGGTTTGCATCCGACCTGTAATAAAGGAGATTGCCCAACCCAAAACTGGATCCGGCTAGTTGTTTGAACTTGAATTAGAGGTGGGCAAGAGTAAATTCTGCCCATGTCATAAAATGGCCATTGCCTCCTGTGGTTTGAGGTTGGGTTCCACCTACTCCTACTGTTTGGATAGTCCACATTAAGAGGTTATTGGATCCCAAGGGTACTGAAGGAGATTATGATTTCTCTGACAGATACTATTAATGGATGGGTAGGATTTTATAAAGATCTTTGGCCTTTAATCTTCAACAGCGAGACCCCAAAGCATCTTGGTTCATGCAGAATCTGCAACAGGTGAAGTGAGCAGGTAGATGCTAGCAGGCCCGTAGAAATCTCTTGTATAGTCTGTCAGTGATTTTTGTTAAAAGATTTTATATTGTGCCTGTGTGGGAGGCGAACATGTTTCTTTACCTCAACCAAAATCTTCATAAAATCTCAGCTAGCAGCTTTGTTTCAGGTGTTAACATCCTGGTTAATCTGGACATTGTCCTCTGACTCAGTGGTTCATATAAGTACCTCATTCTGAGGGAATTGTGTGTTCCTTTGCTGATATAACCATACAGATTTAGAGTGAAATGTCTGTGTCTATAGGAACAGGGCAGTAGCTTCAGGGGATGAATACTAAGTCTGTTCTGCTTGTGCTCTCTGGACCAAAAAAAGAAAAAAGAGAATTAAATATGAAAGCCTAGTTAAAATGAAGTGATTAAAAAAATACTGTAAAGCATAGAATAATGTATTTTGAGACTTCTTGTTTTCTGCTAAACTCTGTTCTTTCATTACCTTGTCCTCCTACCTCCACCCATTTGCTTGATTCATCTACCTGTTGCATTCTTTCTGATATGAGATTGTAGGCTCTTTGGGACAGGGACGATCTTCTTTGTTATTTGTCTGCACAGCACCTAATATAATGAGACCCTGATCCTAGACTCTACAATAATAATGAACAAGATATTGAAAGGAGACTGTTCATTTTGGATCCCTCCATTCTTGGCTGCCCTGCTTAAGACACTTTAAAGGGGAATATTTTTACAGTTCTGAACAACCACCATTTAAAAACTACCTCAGCTTGGGTACCCAAGAATGGAGACATCCAAAATTATGAAAATCTGGGCCAATAATAAGTCGTCACTAAAAATATATCCACATGCCAAGTTATATTTCTAACCCAAATTCTCGGCCTGATCTTGCAGCCCTGAGTAAGGGATGTAAGACTGGGTCCTGTGTCTCAAGTATTCTCACTTTGTAAAAGTTAGTAATGCTTCTTCCATTGTTAGAATAATTGGACTCTATGACATTTACATATACATAGATTTTAACATTATTCATTTCATTCACTGTACAACGTTTGTTATTAAGTTACATGAATTCATATTTTTTCTTTCCAAAATTTGCCTTTTTAAAAAATGGCTGAAATACTAAATATCCATATGTACACATCCAGTATGCCTTAACAATATTTACCTATTTACGAGGTTTTATGTCAGTCGTTTTCAATACTATAGCCTTGTCACAGGGTGCAGCCCTCACTGCCAGACTGGGCACCTCCTTCTGATAGTACTAGGGATTAGCTCGAGGCTGATGCCCACATCCACAGTCTGCACACTGGCACTCTGTTTTTGGTCCCACCTATGGCTCCTCTCTCACCTCCCAGAACCACAGCATCCTCTTTGTGATTCAGCCTTCTGGATAATTCATCATCTCTGTTTCCCCCTTCTGGAAACAGTCCAGCCACTTCCCCAGTGGCAAGTGTGGGGGGACCCACTACCCTGGGCCCCAATCCAGGGACCCTAATAAATAGAATCCTCCTGCTGCTCCTCTGTAACCTCTGTCAATGTTGCTCTATTTCCCTGGGCCACTTCCCCATGGCCCCAGAACCTTCTTTGCCCTCTCCTCAGGGCACTCAGCTGCTCAGTCCTAAGAACCAGCCACTACTCTGCCCAAAGTGCTTACAGTTCTCTCAGCCCTCCACAACAGACTCCTTGCTTCCAGCAGTAACTCACCTACTCTGCCCTGCAGCTCCCTTTTATCTGAGCCTGCCAGGCCTGGATTGGTTGCTCCCTGCAACTCCTCCCTGACTGGCTGTGATTCATACAGCCTCTCTGGGCTGCTCCGACGACTGACCTCTATTGCACCTTCTGGGGCAGGGCATGGCCCTTTTTATGCCTGTGAGGGATAGGCACCCCATCATAGGTGCTTAATAATCTCAGGTCCCAATGAAGTCAATAAGAAAAACAGGGCCACAACAACTTTGAAAACCAGGCAAATAAAGTATAGAGATCATCCTTATTTTCCTGATAAAAAAAGTTTAACTATGCAGAGGTGCTTTCCAATACAAGTTTTTAATTATATGCAGGAAACTGTGACCTTAAAACAATTATCATTATTGAAAGCAGATATTACACTTCTAATCTATGAAGGGTCCCGTACCAGAAGGGACCAAAAACAGAGTGGAAATGTTTTATGGTTATGATGTAACATGTAACATAGTGAATAGAATAATGATCAAATGAAGTCACAACATCTAATTAGATGATAATTTGAGGGGATTCGGATGTTCAGATATCAGGGTGATGTATATGGCACAAGTGCTTAGATCAATAGACAGAGGTGCAAAGTGCTTCCTTTTTATTTTCACAGTAGATGGTTCTTTAAAGGCAATAACAATATGGTTCTTTAAAGAGAATACCAAGATCAAAATTCAGGCTAGAAATTACTAGCATTTTTCACAGTGAGGGTAATAACTATTGGAGTAACATCCACAGGGAAGTAGTGGATTCTCCATAATTTTGAAGTCAAAATTGGATGTCTAAAAGATGCTGTACCTCAGCCAAAACATATGGGCTTGATGCAGAGATCACTGGGTGAAATTGTATGGCCTGTGTTACACAGGAGGTCAAACAAGATTGTCATAATGGTGCCTTCTGGCCTCAAACAATCTATGAGGTAATATCTGTACCTTAGCTACATACATTTCAAAACAGAAGGATGAGGTGATTATCATCTCAGGATAAAGTTATTACAGAATTAAAAGAGGTTTCAGAGTAGCAGCCGTGTTAGTCTGTATCTGCAAAAAGAAAAGGAGGACTTGTGGCACCTTAGAGACTAACGAATTTATTTGAGCATAAGCTTTTGTGACCTACAGCTCACTTCCTTGGATGCATTCAGTGGAAAATACAGTGGGGAGATTTATATACACAGAGAACACGAAACAATGGGTGTTACCATACACACTGTAAGGAGAGTAATCACTTAAGGTGAGCTATTACCAGCAGGAGAGAAAAAAAACCTTTTTGTAGTGATAATCAAGGTGGGCCATTTCCAGCAGTTGACAAGAACGTCTGAGGAACAGCAGGGGTGGCGGGGGGGAGGAGGGGAATAATCATGGGGAAATAGTTTTACTTTGTGTAATGACCCATCCACTCCCAGTCTTTATTCAAGCCTAAAGTTAATTGTATCAAGTTTGCAAATTAATTCCAATTCAGCAGTCTCTCGCTGGAGTCTGGTTTTGAAGTTTTTTTGTTGAAGAATTGCCACTTTTAAGTCTGTAATCGAGTGACAAAAGAGATTGAAGTGTTCTCCGACTGGTTTTTGAATGTTATAACTCTTGACGTCG